ACCTCACCAGTGCCCAGCTCCAGAGCCTGGCCGCCGTGCAGCAGGTACCCGCCGCGACGCCGGGCACGCGCAGCGCCATCAACCTGCCACTACCACGCGCCTGCGGCGCCGGTTACCTGCGCTGCCCACCCACAGTGCCCTGCACCTGCGTTGCTGCACACCCGTGACAGCACGCACCCACACTGCCCACCCACGCTGCCATGCACCCGCAGCACCGTGCATCCACGTCGCTGCATACCCGTGACACCACGCACCCATGCTGCCTACCTGAGGCCCCATGCACTCGCATTGCCCTGCACCCGCAACACCCTGCACCTGTGGCACCATGCACCCGCAACGCCTTGTGCCTGTGGCACCATGCACCCACATTGCTGTGTGCTCGTGAACCCCATGCACCGTAGCACCCTGCACCCATGTTGCTGGGCAGCCATGGCACCGTGCACCTGCATTGCTTTGTGTCCACAACCCCACGCACCCAGAGGCAACATGCACCAACGTTGCTGCGTGCCTGCAACCCCATGCTCCCAGTGGCACCATGCACCCACATTGCTGCACACCCGCAGCACCATGCACCTGCATTGCCATGTGCCTATGACCCTGCACGCCCACGACCCCGTGCACCCACGTTGCTGCACGCCCACGACCCCATGCACCCACGTTGCTGCACGCCCACGACCCCATGCACCCACAATGCTGCACACCCACGGCCCCATGCACCTTCATTGCCACGTGCCCACAACCCCATGCACCCAGCGGCCCCATGCACCCACATTGCTGCACACCCACGGCCCCATGCACTCACATTGCTGCTTGCCCACGACACTGCACGCCCACGGTACTGTGCACCCACATTGCTGCGCACCCGCGGGCCCATGCACCCGCACTGCCACGTGCCTGCGCCGCCCCCCTAACGCTGGCCGTGCTCCTTCCCCCCCCAGGCGAGTCTGGCAGCCAACAGGCAGAGAGAGGGTGTCCAGACCCCATAGGGTGTCCTCCAGCCCATTGTAGGGTGTTCAGACCCATAGGGTGTCCTCCAACCCATCATAGGGTGACCAGACCCCATACGGGGCCCCCAACCCTACTGTGAGGTGCTTGGACCCCAGAGGGTGTCCAGACCCCATAGGGTGTCCTCCAGCCCATTGTAGGGTGTTCAGACCCATAGGGTGTCCTCCAACCCATCATAGGGTGACCAGACCCCATACGGGGCCCCCAACCCTACTGTGAGGTGCTTGGACCCCAGAGGGTGTCCAGACCCCATAGGGTGTCCTCCAGCCCATTGTAGGGTGTTCAGACCCATAGGGTGTCCTCCAACCCATCATAGGGTGACCAGACCCCATACGGGGCCCCCAACCCTACTGTGAGGTGCTTGGACCCCAGAGGGTGTCCAGACCCCATAGGGTGTCCTCCAGCCCATTGTAGGGTGTTCAGACCCATAGGGTGTCCTCCAACCCATCATAGGGTGACCAGACCCCATACGGGGCCCCCAACCCTACTGTGAGGTGCTTAGACCCCAGAGGGTGTCCAGACCCCACAGGGTGCCCCCAACCCTCACCTACTGTGAGGTGCTTGGACCCCAGAGGGTGTCCAGACCCCATAGGGTGTCCTCCAGCCCATTGTAGGGTGTTCAGACCCATAGGGTGTCCTCCAACCCATCATAGGGTGACCAGACCCCATACGGGGCCCCCAACCCTACTGTGAGGTGCTTAGACCCCAGAGGGTGTCCAGACCCCACAGGGTGCCCCCAACCCTCACCTACTGTGAGGTGCTTGGACCCCAGAGGGTGTCCAGACCCCGTAGAGTTCCCTCTAGCTCATTGTAGGGTGTTCAGACCCCATAGAGTGCCCTCCAGCCCATTGTAGGGTGTCCAGACCCCACAGGGTGCCCCCAACCCTACTGTGAGGTGCTTGGACCCCAGAGGGTGTCCAGACCCCGTAGAGTTCCCTCTAGCTCATTGTAGGGTGTTCAGACCCCATAGAGTGCCCTCCAGCCCATTGTAGGGTGTCCAGACCCCACAGGGTGCCCCCAACCCT